ATGGAAAACTATAAGAAAGAGAAATATGTTAAGAAATGGAAAAAATGATCAAATTTAAACCGCCTCTCAGGGTATTTCAGCTCTGCCAAGTTTTGATCTCCAGGAATACTATTGTAGAATAAATCCATGAGTCAAGAAAAATACAAAGGACAAACTCCCTCCTCAGTTCCCTTCATCACCCTCCTTCTCACAGCTGGAGGTCCAAGCCATCAGATCTTCCCAGGATGTTCAGTTCGGAGCCAGAGCCATGATATGTAACATCTTACCAGGGCTATATACACTGCAAGATAATTCTAAATGACTGTATGGCAAGACATTTAGAAAGGGCAGATGTTGGAGCAATATTGGGATCTGTTGTCCCAATTAGTGTCTGAAATACACTGTCTTATAAATCTGCTTTATAAAACATATAGTATGAACCATAAAGGTGTGGCCAGAAGCATCTTAATTTGTTTTAATGGGAGAACAGGATAAGGACTGTGACTTTACATGATTTAAATTTGTACTTACCTCTAATAAACCTCAGATGATTTATTCTGCCATAATGAATAAAAACAGTCATAAGATTTTCTAACCGATATCCCTTTCCCACACTAGCAACATATATACGCTTTTATGTGACTTCTTTCTCTTTAAAAATGCTGTTGAAGTGTTTATAGCTCTTCAGGATTACATGTTGAGCCAGGATTATAAATATGTATAAATATGCAGATGCTCCACTGAATGTTCCTTATCTCATTTGTATTTCCGAAATTGTATAAGATAACCTTTGTGCCTTTCAAAAACATCTTCTCACACCCCAGGGGGCAAATTACCTCTATTTTCATTTCCTTTAAAGTTAGATCATTTTATAATTAAGAACTTATTGAAGCAGATTCTCCCCACGTGTATGCTACTCCCTGGGGAGTAATCTATGCAAAGGGAGTCTGTGACTTAATATCATATAAGCTAAAAACTGTACAATGGATACCTGGGATTTTTTTTCAGTCAATTTTGTAATCATTTTAAATAATCCATTGTTTAAAAGGCTATCATTTTAAGAAATCCATACTACATCCTGCTCTTCCAGATTGTGTGGACTTTTAGTTTCCCAAAATATGAGCTATATGAACTTCTTTATAAAATTTTCCAGTGTCAGGTATGTTGGTTTAATAATGCTAAATGGACTAACATACAAGGTCAAATTGTATATTCTAGAGATACATAAATCAAGTACTATGGGATTGCCTAGGAAGTAAAGGAGGCTTAGAATCAGAGAGAGTCAGCACTTGATTCTCTCTTCCAAGATTTCCACGTTCATAACTAGAAAACAAACTGTTTTCAAACTTTATCTTATGTGGGTTTCTGATGGAATCAGAATACTTTGGTTGGAGTGAGGGTGGGGAGGTTTAGCCTTCCCAACTTGGTCTCACTTTTTCTCATCTCCAGCCACTGAGGTATCTGCATGGAACCCTAAGACACAGCCTTCCAATGGCTGATCCCTGTCAGAGTCAGTCATTTTATAAAGAGAATCTGAGGTCCATAGAGGGAATCTTCTTCTAGGATCTAGAGGAGTGAAGTCCCTCTGGTCTTCTGTGCTAGTCCCTACAGCTGATGACCATGGATCCTGTGTCAGCCTTCAGTCTAGAGGTCCCCTCCTTCTGTGGACCTGAAGCCTGGCTGACCTTTCTCTGTACCCAAGGCGACCCCAGAACAGCTGCTTTTCTCTGCTCCTACTCCAGGCTGGATGTGACAGTGTGAGAGTTGCTGGGTAAGGTTTGTCCATCTCGCCAGCAATAATTCCACTTCTGGGGTCAATGCATTCATCATTTGGAGGGTCAGTCTGAGACAGTTGGGACAAAGAGGTTATTGCTAAGATGTGTGTTTCAAATTAGATTTTGAGCTCAAAGTAAGACATGAGTCTCGAAAATAGGATTTATTGGGAAAAATATACCTCTTGAACACTCAGAGATTATGACTCTTGAGGTACCCTGTACCTTGTACACTTATACCCTGAAAAGGCCCAATACTCTGACTTCATGTGTTTATACCTGATACATTTCTTTGCTTAAATCATCCTTCCTTTTGGTAAATTCTACTGATCCTTCCCCCTCTTCCTCATACTTTTTCAATCAATCAACCAACCCTCTGTGTTCTGGTAGCACCTTCTCCATACATTTATTATAGCTCTCATTGCATGTGAGAATGCACATCTTTTTCTCCCACTGACTCTAAGCTTCTCTTGTGAATATGTCTTATTCGTATTAGATGCCTCAGCTGCCACTAACAACAACACTCATGGAACCAGCTACATGTGCTGATTGACAGGGTAATTCAGTATTGGCTGGAGTTATGAGAAATGAGGGTCTTTCTCAACCACAGACTTTTTGAGAAGTTGCCAACTAGTAATAAGTCACCATTCATTATCTGCTTGGTCAAATTGATAATTTGTTGAGAAAGAAATCCATACTACAAATAACTTATAGTATCATTCATTAGATTACTTTAAAATGACAAGATCTTTAATAAATAAATAATTTAAGGTCAAATAAAGAATTTATTATTAATAAAAATTATTAATAAAGAATAATTTCTTGTCCAAAAGCATTGGAAAAACCAGTTGATGATGATGATGATGGTGAAGATGATGATGATGATTAAGTTGTTTTATAGCTCTTTACTATTTACAAGGCACTTCCACATAAAATATTCATTCAATCCTCAAATATCTATGAAGTAGTAGTTAAGGCTTATATTTATAAACCAGAAAACATAAGATCATAGATTTTATCTTGGCAATGACCTCAATCATTAATAGATTAAGGACTGAAATTCTGGAGAACAGAACAGAATGATATCAAATCTCCTATCTTTCCCCCATCACAAAATCTTGAAAACAAATTCTAGGAAAACTAAAAGAAGCAGGAGCAAACAGAAATACTGAGTCTAATAAGTACTTTAGGAAATTGTCTCCTCTGATGTTTTTATCATTAGCTTTTTTATCTGTTGCTCTGCACTAATATAAGAATTCAAAATTGTGTTCTTACTTTGGTTTGTAAAAGGCATAGAATGGGTTACTAACCAAAGCATTAGGAAATGTGCCTAATTGGGGTTATCACTTCTCACCTCAACTGCAAAATATCATTGACAACCTGGATCCTCAGTTTTTTCTTATAGCATTGAAATTTTTTTGCTTTCTAAAATGATTTAAAGTTTATGTAATATATTCAATTTTGAAAACCTTAATGTGCTACTCTAAAGCTAAGTATTTTTTTTAAGTAAAACAATAAAAAATAGGGTTATGTCTTGCATTTATTTGTTTTGTGTATTTAAGAATGAAGAACTATAGAATGTATCCAAGCGGCAGATTTATGTACAAAGAATTTTGAAGTATATTTTACATAATTATTTTAAATTGGGATAGGAAATAGCAGAACTTCTTAGTGTGCGTAATTGTAACAACTCTTAGAATACTATCAGAGACAGAGGAATTACTATATTCTAGATAATCTCTATAAACATGACTTAAAATCATTTTTCTAAGAGAAAATGTGTATATATGCATATATATACACACATACATACACACATATATGTACATATATATATGTATACATGTCCATACACACATACACTTCCCACAGACTTGCCTGCAAAACATCACACCAAATTGCACACATGCAAAATGGAAATCCCACGCTCCATCAAATCCCACAAACACCCCATTTTTGTCAAACCCAGGAAGCTGGAAGTCACCTGTGATTCTTGATCAATTTATGTCCTTTCTGTCATCATATAATCTGACATCTTCCCTTAAACCATCTTTGTTCTTGCTTCTTCCTCTCCATTTGTTCTGCCACTGATGTGACCTATGCTTCAGCTCCACACCCACTTTAGGAATGACCTTTATTTTGTCTGGTTAGCCTTCCACATTCACCTTTCTGAGTGCTTAAATTACCACTTTCATTATTTATCCATCTAGTTCCCTTCTTTGTTCCTTATGGCAAGTGGGATTAGGTAAAAACTCTACCCAACCCCAGGAACTCCAAAATCTGGCATCACTCCTCAATGCAACCACATTTCCCACATTTCCATTATAGCCAAATGCTATGATTTTTGAGACACAATCACCCCAGACCTCCAATCTTTTTTATTGAATGCTCTTTGCCTTTCCCTTTAGCCTGACCAAATTCCACATAATTTCCAATGAAACTATTTCAATTCCTATTAAATTTATTCTTAACATCAAGTAATTGACATTTTCTGATTTCTCCACATATTCACATTGTTTCACTAATTGCATTACTACAATTGTTACTTTATTTTTTCCTCTGTCATCAGCCTTCAGTATCCTAGTGGATAGATAGAACATGATCACTAAATGATCTGATTTCTTATTGGTATTTTCCAGAGTGAACATCCAGCCACATAATGGATAAAGCCACATATCCACACCCTAGTTTTACTTTCTTTACCTATTTAAAATATTATTGAGATAGAGCCATGTGAAAGCTGCTCTCAGTTTCAAGAGGAAAATAAGAAGTCTAAAGTCATGGATTCAAGAGATTTTTGTTTTACTCTATTTTAAGGTCAAGTTTTAAAAGGAGACAACAGTGAAAACAAGACTTTAGAAAACTTCTGATCTCTGGTTATTTATTTATTTAGGTTGTTTAGTTATCCAAAGTACATGTATGAGGACACGAATTGGTGTGAGTATACTATATGTATACAACCAGAGATATGAAAACTTGAGCTCTATATATGTAATAAGAGTTGTCATGCATTCCGTTGTTATATATAAATTTAAAAAATAAAATAAGAAAAGCAAGCAGTGGCAAACAGATGCTGTAACACATAGAGAAAGACTATGAAGACTTTCAAATTGCAGTGGGTGACCTGCACACTACCACTCCCACCCTGGGATCCTCAAACACAAACATTATGGCTGGGATAGGAGGAGAAAGAGATAAGAAGACTGAAAGAAAGAAACTGTGTAAACTCAAACTGTTTTCCCCTTTCAGCACAAATTGAAGTGATACCATGCAAAATTTGTGGCGATAAATCCTCTGGGATCCACTACGGAGTCATCACGTGTGAAGGCTGCAAGGTAGGAATGGTCCCTACTTTATTTGGTGCATGCTTCAGGCCCCTGTGCACCCTACTTAAAGAAGGGTGCTGATGGACACTCCTGTCTCCTCTGACTGGCTTGGGGGTGGGTGGATTGATTTTCTGTTCTTTCGCCTTTTTCTTGTTTTTGCCTATCTGGTCAGCAGATCCTTAGAAATGCATTCTTATTTGAAGGCTTGAATTAGTCACATTTACAGAGATAAATACAGAGTCTTAGTGTTTTAGCAGTCTTGTCCCCAGTGAACTCCAGAGCACTTATTAGTATATGTTAAAACTAAAGGATAAAATAAAGAGTGTAAGCTAATGGTATGTATTTATCTAACTGCTTAAGAAAGACAACATTGAGGTAACAGCCACAATATACATATGGCCATCCTTTACCTTCCAGAAAAGAAAAGAAACCTAGAAGCATGGGATGTTGGAAGTAACCAAATAATCCCCAAGTAAATTAAAAGTCACCTCCCCCAACTTCCACAATGTTCAGTGAGGTCCTGTTGGATAAACAATATCATATCCTTGATTAGTATCATTGATTCAGAGAGTAAAAAGCTGACCATAACACTAGTTTTTTTCAGTTAGTTCAGTATTCCTTCCCAGGACAGATTTCACCAACCCTTCTCAACAGCAAGTACATACCAGAGAGGAAATTCCTTCTAACACAAAAAGCTGGGAGAACAGTCAACCATGGCTTAATTTGAAGCAAGAGAAATTTGAAAATCAACAGTAACTTTTTCAAATCAATCCTTAGAAGGAAAGAGTGAGAGACTAAATAGCAAGGAGAAAGCAAAAAGTTCACAAGTGATTTTAAAGGGCCACATGTAACAAGAACCAATAAAACCTACCTACAATTTTGGGATAAATGGCGATGTGCTGGCTTATTGGCAAGAGCAATTATGTTTTTGATCAAAGATGTGAGCAAATGAAACCTTAATTTAAGGTCAGTGAACTGAATAAGATGTAATATGGTCATAGATTCAATCTTAAGAGACTTTCAAAAGTAAAAAAGGTAAAACATACAGTAGCAATCAAATACTGATGCTGTGTGAAAAACTGACAGTGTCTTAATTAAGAGTCTCAAAAAGGATGATTCCTGCCATTGAAAACAGAGAGAAGCAAAGAAAAGAGGAACAAATGAGAATGGAAGAGAGAGGGAGATTAACATACTGATCTGCTTTAGAGATGATTAGTGATAATCCATATGTGAACATCATGAGATGACCCTTGCATTCTGTTCCTCTACAGAGCTATAATTAAGAATTGCATGTTATCCACGTTAATGCAATTTTTTCAACTCATTAAGAAGAAACAATGTAGAAAAATTATAAGGTGGCATTTTTTTTACCCTCCTTAAGTTATTACTTTCTCTGGGCAGGAAGGCAAACTTTTCTTCATAAACACTAGTAATTTTGAAAACAGAAGAACCCTCTCCACTGAAGGCATTTCTACCAGTCTGTTGACTTGTTCTGCAATTTTAAGAGCTGCAGTCTAGTTTACATAATATCCACTAAAAAAATTTTTTTAGATCAAAGTCAAAATGAAAATATTCAGTGTTTCATTGGATAAGCCTTTTTTGGAAATTTTCTATTTTCAAAATATGGAGATATATTTATGTTAAAGAGAAAAACATTTTAAATAGTAACTTCTAAAAGCTTTAATTACTAGACAAATATAATCCAACAGGTCAACAGCCAGGAACAAGTGTTTAAGCTTCTGTCATCTTTTCTATTTAGAAGAAGAATCCACAATCAAGGAAATTATGCAGTTACTATGAAGTATACTCTGATGTTTTAGTTAAAAATGACTGAACACCACACTATTTTTATGGAAAATTTTTTCATGGAAAATCCACATTTTTTAATATACTACATTTTTCTCCAAATAGAAAACTCAAAAAATCTCATTTAGGATTAGATGTCAATATCATCATACTCAGAATTAACCTCTGAATTTTTATGATGCTGTTTTTGAGTAAACATAAACAACTTATTTAAAAATAACATCAGTTCAGCTCACACACTTACTCAATTCCTATTCATTCAATAAAATTTGAAACAGAATCTCTGTCTCATGTCATAAACCTCATTTGCAAAAATAAGCAACAGATAAGCAATAAATACCTCATAATTAATGTCAAATTGGCCTTAAATTAAGGCTTGTAACTTAAGGAAAATCTTTTCTTTGGACTCTTTTGCTCAGTAGCACTGTAGTACCCAAAGATTAAAAACTGAAAATTCTTTCTTAAAAATGTAAATTTCAAGTCATCTTTAATCAGGTCTCATGTGCTGAGGTTATACTGTCTGACAGGCTCATGGTATATGAAGTACATCCTTTCAGTCCCTGGGATTTATCATGATCTCTGTTTCAAGGGGTTCTATAAATTCAATCGAACTGGACAATTTCATTCTGCTGTCACTCATCCAGTAGATAAATAATGCACATGGAGATATGGAGATGAAACTAGTTTTTGTTGAATGACTTTGAGCTTAAACCTCACAACCAACTGAGACTATTTCTCTAAGAGATCCTTGGACACATGTCCATTCCTGAGGTTCCTGCAGTTTGGTCAAGTTTTCTTGACATTGCCAAACTGGGCCACACTGGAATCCAAGGCAAAAGGAAAATTGATAAGATCAATCCTGTCTTTCTTTAAACTATTGGTAATTTTCTGCATTGATATTTATTTTCATACATTGAATTAAAATATTATTTTAATAACTACCAAATGTTTTTGGTGAACCATAACTTTCATAACCAAGGTGACTGCCACACTAGCTTCACCTAGTTCCAGCCCTGCTTCTCCTCCTGTGGAACACAGAAAGTATTTGACAGAAGTCAGAGGAACTTTTTCAAGCTTCTCAGCAAGATAGGCATTAAGCTTATTTCATTCCTGGGCTTTTTAAGTACTCCTCCCCCCAAAACATGATGCTGTTATCATTTCCTAAAATTTCTCTTGGTACATCTATTTTAGATCATCCTTTTGCTCATGGCAATTGCACGTTTGCTATTTTGCTGTAGGCAATTCAAAAGTGATAAGGGAAACTGATTATGTAGGGGAGTGGATGGATAAACAACATTTCATATCTCTGGAGAAATGATTGTCGTTTTTCATAAGGTTTCCTTTTTTATTTTTATTTACTTTTTCCACATTTTTAATGGTGCATTGTAGTTGTACATACTGTTGGGATTTCTGGTTACATATTCATAAATGCACCCAAGATAACAATATAATTTGGCCAATATCACTCCCCAGCACCTCTCCCCTCCTTCCCCACCTCCTACTCTTTGGACCCTTTCCTCTACTGATCTTCCTCTGATTTTTAGGAAATCCACCCTGACCCTTCTTTAACTTTTTCCTCTCTAGCTTCCGCATAAGACAGAAAACATAGGACCCGTAACCTTCTGAATTTGACTTATTTCGCTTAACATATTGGTCTCTAGTTTTATCCATTTTTCTGCAAATGACATAATTTTTTTTCTTTATGGCTGAATAAAACTCCATTGTGTATATATACCACATTTTCTTTATCCATTCTTCCATCAATGGATACCTAGGGTGGTTCCATAGTTTGGCTATTCCGTCAAAATGACTTTGACTTTGTGAATTGTGCTGCTATAAATGTAGGTATGCATGTATCACTATAGTAAGATGCCTTTAGTTCTTCAAGGTAAATACCGGGAAGTGGTATAGCTAGGTGATAAGATTCCATGCTTAGTCTTTCGAGAAGCCTCCATATGATTTCCATAGCAGTTGTACTAATTTATAGTCCCACCAAAAGTGTTCCTTTTTCTCCACATCCTCTCCAGCATTTCTCAGTAAGGTTTTCTGTAAGATACTAAGGGAGAGTGGTAGGCAGAGAACTGAAAAATAATAATAAACTCAGCTGCAGATTTATTTAGAGGGATAGTATATGGTCCATGACATTTCATTTTGTACCAGAAGGACCCAAGCATACTTCTATGAAAACCCTTATATGCTATAACTTAAGGCTAAGCAGAAATCATTTGTTCAGTTTTTACTTATTGTTTATTTTCCTTTACTCAAGATGTGTTTTATTATAGGCAATATATCACTGGCTTAAAAAACAACTTTCCACATATGTTCTGACCACATTAATTTTTTTCCCCAATGAAGCCAAATGCATCTTAGAAACTAGGAAAACAGCAGCACATACTGAGCACACATTCCTCAGTGATGAAGCTGCCACCAGCACTCTAAGTTTCTCACCACCATTGAGTTTAGTACAAGCTCAGTCCTTGTCCCCATCAAGTATCATCATATTTGGTTTAGCAACAACACACTTCTTTGTTATTTTCCCTCATTGCTCTTTTTTAAATAATTTATTTTTATTAGTTCTAATCAGTTATACATGACAGTAGAAAGCTTTTCAATTTATTGTACACAAATGGAGCACAACTTTTCATTTCTCTGGTTGTACATGATATAGAGTCACACCACATGTGCAGTCATACATGTACCTAGGATGATGATGTTTGTCTCATTCTACCATCTTTCCTACCCTCTTGTCCCCTCCCCTTCTCTCTCTCCCCTTGGCCCAATAAAAGTTCCTCCATTCTCCACATTCTGCCCTCCCCCCCCCATTATGGGTGAGCATCCACTTATCAGAGAAAACATTTGGCCTTTGGTTTTGGGGGATTGGCTTCTTTCACTTAGCATGATCTTCTCCAACTCAATCCATTTACTTGCAAATGCCATGATTTTATTCTCTTTTAATGCTAAGTAATATTCCATTGTGTGTGTGTGTGTGTGTGTGTGTGTGTGTGTGTGTGTGTATATATATATATATATATATATATATATATATATATATATATATATATATTTCTTTATCCATTCATCTATTGAAGGACATCTAGATTGGTTCCACAGTTTAGCTATTGTGAATTGTGCTGCTATAAACATTGAGGTGACTCTGTACTATATAATATGCTGATTTTAAGTCCTTTAGGTATAGACCGAGGAGTAGATAGCTGGGTCAAACAGTGGTTCCATTCCAAGTTTTCTAAGAAATCTCCATACTGGTTTCAAATCAAGAATCAATAAATAGGATAGATTCAAACTAAAAAGCTTCTTCTCAGCAAAAGAAAAAAACAATGAGGTGAAGAGAAAGCCTACATTTTGGGAGCAAATTTTTGCCACATGCACGTCAGATAGAGCACTAATCTCCAGGTAAAGAAACTCAAAAAACTTAACACAAAAAAAAACACACAACTTAATCAATAAATGGGCTCAGGAGCTGAAGAGACACTTCTCAGAAGAAGATATACAATAAATCAACAAATATATGAAAAAAATGTTCAATATCTCTAGTAACTAGAGAAATGCAAATCAAAACTACTCTAAGATTTCATCTCACTCCAGTCAGTATGGCAGATATCAAGAATACAAACAACAATAAGTGTTGGTGAGGATGTGGGGGGAAAGGTATACTCATATATTGCTGGTGTAAATTGGTCCCCAGTGCTCTTTGGGGGCAGACACTCTGTTGCCTTTGCAGAGGACAGCACAATTCATAAATATCTTTAGTACACATTCATTATGTGAATGAAGGAATGAATGATGCCTTCTTCTCTCTGCAGATAGCACATATTTTCTGCATAAAACATCTGTAAGCTATCCAAGGAGAAGTACCTAAATAATTTTTTAAAAAATACGCTCAGTTATGTTCAGTGTAGAAACTGTAGCAAGTGTATAAGTTAATGTTTCCCTTCTTTCTAAACCTGCTTCCCTCCCCTTTTTCCCTCTAGGGATTCTTCAGGAGGAGCCAGCAGAACAATGCCTCTTACTCCTGCCCAAGGCAGAGAAACTGTTTAATTGACAGAACCAACAGAAACCGTTGCCAACACTGCCGACTGCAGAAGTGTCTTGCCCTAGGAATGTCAAGAGATGGTATGGTGACACCTTCCTATTTCTTACTTTGGGGTTTTCAAAGGAATGCCTCTTTAGAGGCTATGTGAGCCACTGGAAGGATTTAAATGTGGAAATTGGGAATAAGAAGAAAAGAAAACCCTAGTTCTGGAAGTAAATTAAGAAGTAAAGTAAGAACACATAAAATATACTATTGCCTCAAGAAATGAGAAGAAGGGGGAGGTTTTACTGTAGCTCATCCATCAGCCTATGCTATCTAGGTTAAGTGAAAGCAACATAAGCATAGGTGGAAAGTGACCATCCATCCAGGTTTACTTGTAAAGAGGGGTCTCCTGGCATGTGAGACTTTCAGAACTAAAACCAGAAAGTCCCTGGTAAACAGAAGCCATTAGTTCACTGGGGAGGTCTGCCTGGCACACAAGTTTCTTAGTGTACAGGTAGATTCTAAGGAGCAAAATATGCTTCTCTGAGAAGTTCAGAAGCTTGGATACCCAGATGAGCATCTGGACTATTCTGAGCCATGATGAAGATTGCAGAGGCTACAGCAGAAGTCCAAGTCTTACAAGGGCTGTGTAGGTGGCGTCCCACTCGGAGGAGTATGACGCAAGTGTGCGCTCCAACCAAACTGGTTGGCCTGGCTCCTAGGAACGAATTTCTTAGGTTAATGAAAGAGAACAAATAAAAAAAGATGAACAAAGAATTTCACCTAGTTTTTCTTATATTTTGGGCATTCACGTACATTCATTTTTTTCCCTGCTGAGATTGGCCACAGCTTTCCTATAGCAGATTATAAGTGTCCCTGAGCCCTGGGGCCATTCCTGTCCTGTGTCCACTGTATCCTGAGGCAGTGATTAAAGCAAACACCTTGGGCTGGGATGTGGCTTGGTGGGAGAGCACTTGCCTAGCAGGGGCAGGGCCCTGGGTTTGATTCTCAGCCTTGGGGAAAAAAATTAAAATTAAATCAAGCACGTAAATGTTTGCTAAATGACCTACTCACAGCACTTTCTTCTCAGACTACCTATAGTTTGAGACATAGCCATTACTTCTGACACTTATTTTCTTGATGTGAATCACTCTAGATTCTGTGCCTATAGTCACATTCTCTCTAGTAAAGTTCAAATTCTCAGCAGATGGATTTAAAAAGTAAGAAACGTCCAAGTTTTATAAAACATAGTCAGTTGGTATTCACTATCACTGAGTACATTCAGGTTTAATCAGTTATTAGGTTTGTTTTTGTTGTTGTTGTTGTTGTTTTTACCTTTTTTCTAATTCCCAATGAATCTAAACTTGTGATGCACAAAAATATACCTGTACTACAAATTTATCCAAAAAATATATGAAAAGAATCTGATCTTTAGCCCTGTAATTTCTAAGTTCCTTCTAAAGTTGCAGAAATTAAATTTTCAAATTTTTCCTATTAACTAATTTTTTGTTATTTATTTTTCTGGGCTCACTAAGCACATAAATTTACTCCTAGGGTAAATTTATAGTACTGTGTATTTCTATAAAATGAAGGCAAATTAAGTGAATAAAGAGGGGTTAAATGGTATTCAGAATTTATTTAGTGAAAAGTCTGTTTTTGAGTTTGAATTTGAGTTGAATTTGAGTTGATGAATTTGTACTTCATTTCTCCCATATGGAGGCAGGATATTAATCGATATCTTCTGAAACACCCATTAATAATTGTGCAAAGAGATAAGCCACTGGGTGTATTCATATGTTGAATTTCTTCCTACAATCAAGGAAGTCTGTCTTCTGAAAGCATGAGTCTTATGAATCTGGAGAACAGAATCATGAACAAGAGATGGGTATATTTTCCAGGAAGAGTCAGCACTCTCAGTAAATCAGCTCAAAGTCTAGGAGATTGACTGAATCCCATGACATAAAAGACAGGTCCTGGCAGGGTGAGGGTCATTTAATGGAGGGAGCCTCAATCTGTTCTCAAGGAGAAAAATCTCACTGCAGCACATATACCTCTAGGCAAGTAAAAGCAATATAGAGTCTAAGGATACTGGGGAGTAAGGACATGATCCACTTAATCCTCTGCCCACAGACATACAGGATCATCTTTAAAATGCCTCCTAAGTATGTCTTATGTCAAACCACTCATAAAGATAAATATTCAAGTGGTGGGAGTGGTGGTTGGGAATACAAAGAGGAAGGGGCTCAAGAAGATGAGAGAGAGAGAGAGAGAGAGAGAGAGAGAGAGAGAGATTCTAAGGATGAATAAAGCTTCCTTACTATGTCATACAAAGGAAGTCAGTCAGAACCTTAATTTTAAAGGGTTCCTTACACAAACAAAGAATACCAATATCAGGAGGCTGGCTAGGTTTTCTCTGTTGTTGATAAGTAATGCCCAGTATGTAGTATTAAGGAATTCCCAAAGAAAGCCACGCATAATGGCACACACCTGTGATTCTAGCTACTCTGGAGACTGTGGACAAGGATCGAAAGTTGGAGGCCAGCCTTAGCAACTAGGCAAAACCCTGTCTCAAAATAAAATTGAATTTTTCAAGAAAGGATTTCAAAAGCCCCGAAGTTATGGTTGGTTTGCTATGTCTAGTCAGAATGAGAGATGGAGTTTCTACTGCCACTAATTGATTATCCTACCATTTACTGACTAAGCAAATATTTTCAAAGTACCTTAGCAGTAATACCTAAGTCAAGGTACAATGTCCTCACAGCTGACTCCTTTCTACAACCCCCTACCATTCCTCAGAGATAAAGTGACATTTTCATTTCAGTATACGTGTTTGCTCTGTCACTTATGCTGGCTCGGGGAATGTCTCCTTCTTATCTGATCACTGCAAGTACATGGCTATAAGTTGATATCTTAGCATAACAGTTTAACTCACTGGATGTTCATTCTCTCCTGAATTCCCATCATATACTAGTTTATTAGTCATGGCACATTTGAGAGTAGACATCAAACTCAGAAATAACAACTTTGTTCAAATTTACCTTAAACAAAGAATGAAAAGGCAAATCCACTTAAACACATGCACGTGTGTCTGTGTCTATAAAGAGGTGAAAGTGGGCGGGTGGCAGGGGTGGGGTAGAATGGACAGCATGCTATGCCCACAGAACCTTCTCTACCATCTTTGTTCATCTTCCTTTTAGTGACCTTTCACAAAGGAATCTCAGGAAAATGTTTGATATCAGTAGAAAAATATCGGCCCTCAAAAAGAAAACACAATACTCACCTTGCAAAGAATCTAGATGATAAAAAAAATAATTATTATTTTTAAAAATCTAGAATGTATCCTCTTAGAAGGCGTGTCTCTATGAAAACATAGAAACTGCCCTGTACAGGTTCAGGCTTCACAGATAAGGCTTCTTCTATCCAGAACTGTACTGTTTCTATTTAAATCATTTAAATTTCCATGAATTAAAATTAAAAGAAACTTGACGTTCAGTTCTTCAGTCACACTAGCTGTATTTCAAGTCCTCAAGAGCTGCATGTGACTTATGGCTGCCACACTGGGAAGCACAGAGAACCCTCCATCTCTGGAAGCTCTGCTGGAGAAAAAGAGAAGATTTAAAACTGAATAGAGTTAGGTGCATTGAATCAGACTAGAGCACTAAAAAAGGGGGGCAAATCTCTAAAATTGAAAAGAATTAAATTAAGATCCATTTAATTGGTAAGCAGCAATACGTAAACACAGAAATGCTTGAACCAACAATAGTAAGATATAATCATTTTCAGAATGACTATAGAAAGGCATAGATATTCGTTGTATAAGTGAGTTTTCTTGAAACCAAATGTTCATGTCTTATGTCATGAAGTATTAAGCAGAAATCTTCAAGGAATAAATGACTTTATTTTTCCATTATTCTGAAAATTTCCATTCCATTTAGAATCCTGTAATACAAACAAAAATGAAGTGATTTCTGATACTTATGAATAAAATTATTCCTTGCTAGTGTGAAGTACAAAGGAGTATTAACAGGTATCATGAGCAAATAGCATCATTACTGAGTATTTATAAAGTACTTGTAACACATACATAATTGTGCTAGTTTCGTTAACAGTCAGCAGTTTAACAAGAGGATGCCTCTATGCTCAAGTGAATGTCATTAACAGAATCATTCAAGTCTGAGGGGGCAAACTCTTAAAACATGTGCCTTCTTGTCAATGGGTAGTGATAAGAAGACTGTCAATACTTGAAAATATTGTAGTAATATAGCCTTTGTTAAAATAGGTCGATGAACACACCACGTGTACTTACACATAGTGACTAGGGATAATTTATAGGTCAGAAGAGTTCAGTAGGTTTATTTTTGGGCATATACTGTAATTTTTCCCCAAATATGTCAACAATTTTATTGCAGGGAGGAACACAAACCTGAAACACTGGCTTATCATTTTTCTGAAATGAATGGAAAATTTGTTCTAGAATAGTATTACAGTTGTTATCAATGAAGTCCTTGATTTAGGATAAAGACTGATAATCCTGAAAAGAAGTGGAGCTTTAAGCTGTTTCTTTCTAAATATTTTAGTTGCTGGGTGGCCTAAGAAGTTGATCTCTCTTAGAAAAGAGCCTTTCTCTGCTGCATTTTGAGATGTTCAACCGAGCACAGCTCTTGACAGCATACTTTTTTGACATTGTTAATTTAATGATGAGGACTCTGGTTAAAAGTACAATTCTGCTTGTGCCATCTGCAGGTCAGGTCTGCAACTCTGCTGACCATAGCTGGCCTTGCCTGAGATGACTGAGGAGGCCACCTCAGCTTCATGTATCTCATTCTTCAGCAGATTAGCTCAGGCATGTCCTTCCAAGCTGAGGGCCCATTCACACAAGCCCTTTTCAAGCCTTTGTCTGTCTCACATTTGTCAATCTCCCATTAGCCTAGAGCAGGTCAGTGACCAGGAGTCAAGGGGTGGGCAGCAGGCCTGCACAGAATGAAAGGGCTCTGCAAATAGACACAGAGAAGGGCATGGAAGGGAACAGGTGAGAAGAACTGACGATATTAAGGCAATCCATTCACCATACATTTCATCTAAATATAGAGCATATAGAAATCTAAAGCAAGGATTAAAAGGAAATTAATTTTTAAAGAGACTACCTTTCTACTTCCATATTAGATGAGTTTCTCATTGACAATTTTTAATTCTTATGAATTTTAAATAAATAAATGCAAAACTATTCTACTAAAATGAGTCAGGAAATAAATCTCCCCTTGGACAAAACAAAAAATGTAATCCATAGGAATAGAAACCGTGCTTATATTCACCTCTTTAACTGCAACAAACAGCATTCTGAAATTAAATAAATGCAAAAGGACAGAAGAACAGCAAAGAAACAAGCATGACACATGATTTTCTTTTTCAATCAATATTTATTATTGTTTAGTTATTCCTTATACAAAAAAAAAAAAAGATATAAGAGAAAGGTTTCCCTAAAAATTATTGTAGAATTCTATCCGTAGACAAACTGGAAATATCACTGCAATTAGTAAGCAAATAAATGTGTCTCTGAAAAACAGAATCTAATAAAGGCAGCATCTCTACAAACTAAGTTAAACACAATGATCTAAATGATTCAAGACCCTATAAAAGCAACACTGAGATGGAGAGATTGATGGCGATTAATCATCTTGCTTGTCTTCATTCAGAAAAATTACTGGATAATTACCACTTCATTTTCTTACTTAGGCACCATCAGAAAGCCAGAATGTAGGGCTATTTAGTAAGACTGAGAAGAAATAGGAAGACTTTGGGCCCAGCCCTCACATGCACAGTCCAGGAGGAAAATATGCGTTCCTCGACCTGGAAGTAGATGGGCCACCTCTGTTTACTTCCTGTCAATCAGAACTTAATCACATAGCCATGCCTCTCAGGGAGGGGAGCTAGGAAGTATGGTGTTCATTCTCAACAGTCCATGCTCAATAAAAGTTGGTAGCTCTATGCCATGGCAGTGGGAGGAGAAAATCAATTTTGGTAGAATATTGGGGGAAGTGAATGGAACTTCTCTCACAGCAGGAACCTCCTAAGTGGGCCCTTTGAGCTACAGAATTCTCAAACATTTCACCCTTTTGTTATTCATGGAAGAGCAACAACTCTAAGGACTGAATCCAGGAATTGAACCCTCCACTTCCTTCTTTCTACATTCTTGGAACTCCCACCACTAACAAGTAGTAGGAACACTGTCACCAAAGAAAAGAAAACGGAAAATCAGAGGGGAGCCTCTGCACTTGTCATATTTCCCACCACTAATGTGAGCTGAAAAGTGCTTGATGATCACAATGGGCAGTCCTGAGCCCCGAATATGCTGGTAACAGGATGTTTACATGCTAAAAAGGAAGTCAACAAAAGCCAAAGTGAGGAAAAATGTCAATATCCACAGCAGTTCAGAAGGCTTAGCTCCACGAGTTAAGAAACACATTGAAATGGAGTCACTTTGTATTACTGGTGACCACAGCCTCTTCTCCTTTTTACTCAAAATGGCTGAGAATTTCGCTGGCAGAAACAGGCAAAATAAAAGTTGGGACTGGTAGAATGAGGAAAGTAGTCACTGTTGGCTCATTTGCTAGGCATTGGATGCACAAAATTGCTGTGTTCCAATATTTTTATCATTTGATCCCTAGATTCATCTGGAGATAAATGATGTAGTTTACTTTAAATGTGTTTGTCACCCTGCCCCACATCCTTGGTCTTACCCAACACACTAATTACACAATAGATCCAATAGTAACATAATAAGGTCCTTTCCAACAACCCAGTAATCCTAATGCTTATTAACTAGGAAGTTAATAATGAGTCTTGTAGACATTTTAATAGCAGGTATAATTTGGTATTGGGGGGTTAGGGGTATTGAGGAGTCTCTTGTTTGTTTTGTTTGGGTTTTTGATTAAGTGAAAAAGAAGCAAATGTACCTTCCAGCTTCATGGCAACAAAAAATGCATAAATTTGTTTCATTTCTTCCAATCTCAGTGCTGTAGTTTGGATCCTTAATATTCCCCAAAGGCCCACGTGATAAAGGCTTGATCCCCAGCTTAGTGCTATTGGGAGGTAGTGGAAACCTTCAGAGGAGGGAGGTCTCAGGTGATTGGAGGTATGCTCCCAAAGGGAATAATGGGTCACAGGCCTCTTCCTCTGCTTCCCTTTTGCTTTCCTGCCATGAGGAGAATGGCTTGCTCTGCTACACACTACCCCCCCATAATGTGCTGTCTTACCACAGGCCCTAAAACAATGGGTTTACATAACATGGCCCAAATCCTCCAAATCATAAGCCAAACCAAACCTTTTCTCTTTATAAGTTGAGTATCTTAGGTATTTGTCACAGTGCTGGAAAGCTGACTAACACATTCAGATTTAGTTCTCATTGTGACCCAAACCAGTATAGGCCTGCCCCAAACAGGACCTTTCACCAATCATAAAGTGTAAATGAATGGATGCTTAGGTTATGGTGCTAAGAATTTGTCTTATTTGACGTTGAAAGGACAACCATCATGATTCTTAGACTTGCAGTAGTTAAGAGTGATAACCACAAGTGCTGTTTTGTGCTTTTCTCTCCGACCCAGCTGTGAAGTTCGGGAGGATGTCCAAGAAGCAGAGGGACAGCCTGTATGCTGAGGTGCAGAAGCACCAGCAGCGGCTGCAGGAGCAGCGGCAGCAGCAGAGTGGGGAGGCGGAAGCCCTTGCCAGGGTGTATAGCAGCAGCATCAGCAACGGCCTAAGCAACCTGAGCAATGAGACCAGCGGCACTTACGCCAACGGGCATGTCATCGACCTGCCCAAGTCTGAAGGTTACTACAGCGTAGACTCCGGTCAGCCATCCCCTGATCAATCAGGACTTGACATGACTGGAATCAAACAGATAAAGCAAGAACCTATCTATGACCTCACATCCGTACCCAACTTGTTTACCTATAGCTCTTTCAACAACGGGCAGTTAGCACCAGGGATAACGATGACAGAAATCGGTGAGTAGGAGTCTCCTCCAAGTTTCACTTTTGGAAGTTCTGCTTTGACGTCACCTTGGTCCTATCTAAATAGGGTCATTTTCTTAGATGTAAACTGAATGATTTGCCCTTGTGGCTTCTACGGAGAAAGTAAAGTGACCTTGAAATACATTCTAATAAATTGTCATTGTTCCCTTGCCCTCATAAAAGTTTATTTTGAGCAAAGGAAAAAAGAAAAAAATATAAATAGAAAGATGCTATCTATAAAGAAAGAACAGATGCTATCTGTTTGAATTCAGGTTCTCAGTGATGAAAAAAAAAAAATGTTATTGGTATAAACGGAAGTTTTAGCATGGATCCAAAGCAATGCTCTCCAAAGCCATATAGCCCTAAGGGATGTAGAGGCAATGTGTAATGACCAAATGAACAGGGGTCCACTCTCCCTCTTAAGATAGTTGGGGACAACCTTGAGCAATCGGTCCTTCATTTTCCTCTTTGTAAAGACTGAGGGTAGACAAAAATACTGCTAAGATTATCATAAATATGAATTCATGAATTCCATATGGGATTCTTAATGACAGCCAGGAAGAGTGTGGTCTGGAATGTTACAGAACATGAGTGACAAATGAGCTCATCACAGGCGGGCCCCATAGCATCAGCAACCTGATCCATTGGGGGCACCTGTGCCTTTCAGTTCCCAGGGAGTGATCCTCCAGAGGCCCCGTCCGTCCGAGGCAAGCTCACTTCTGACCTGTTGCCACTCTGCTTCACCCTGTTAAGCTCAAGAGTCCATTGATTGTTTAGCTGGTTAATCTCGTTAACTAGCTGCCATAAAAATATTGACACGGACTTAACACATGGCCCTCCTGGGTACCAGAGTCACACTTCCCTAGCAGATTAGGAGAGTGAAACCAACAATGGCCATTCCAGGCTCCAAGGTCGTCATTTACTGCACTGGGAGAAGCAACATAGGGCTCCAGAACTTTTGAGTCTCCTCCCTTCCCACCTAAGAGGTGGCAGAGCAGAGGGTCTACCAACCAGGCTCCCTGAGTTCAAATCCTGTCTCTGTGGCTTATGACTTAAACTAGAACAAGCACTTCAATCCCAGTTCACCCATCTCTAAAAGGGAAAAAGCATTAGTTCATAGCTTCTGGGGACGTTGTGAGAATTACAACACTTGGCAAGTGCTCGAAAGCTCTTAGAATTTTATTATTTATATCCCATTATTTATTCATTATTATTATTACTTATATGCCATGTGCTCAGTCACCTTCCAATGGGTGCATAAAGCCCACAAGAGCTTTAAATTAAGTTGTTGTGAATGCATAGTGAGATCCATGGTCATATTCTTGGCTAGCTGTGCCATCTGGTTGAAGAAGGAGCCATGTGACACAAGTTATAAACCTGAAATGTTGTTTCTCCCTTTCAGCAGCTCAGAGCATGGCAGTGAGTACAGCTGTTGACAGAGCACAACTGAGGCAGGAAGCCAAACATCAACTGCAAAAGCAAAGTTTCTCGGTTTCCTCGTTATCCTTAACTTATACTGCATCACAGGCACTTCTCAAATACATAATTCTCACAAACATCTGAAGAGATAAGTAAAAATGTTGTTCCCACTTTCCTGTGGAAACAGAGGCTTAGAGTTGTCTTGTGAGTTCCCAGGGTCCTACTATTACTCTCTGTGATACAGCCAGGGTAGCCAGGGTAGCCAGTGTCCACCCGAGACAGTCTGAAGCCAGGGTCCTCATGTTCATTCATTAACCTGCTGCTTACTAGGGGTTTAATGTGCACAATATGTATTGTCAACTGAAATGGTCAGCCTTTTTAAATGAACAATTTTTTGTTGTTGTTGTTATTTTCTTTTTTACATGCTGTTCCGAAAGGGCTTATAAAAAAGAAAATAACAAAGTCACCACTTTTTATACTATTACTTAATATGTAGTAAGTCCTTGAGTCTATCATTGGCTTGGAACATGTTTAAATTCTAAAGAAACAAAAACTCACAATTGTTAGGCGATCTTTCTTCATAGACATGGACACACAGAATTAACTAGAATATATTACCCTTGATTATTTCAACATATCATTAGTTTTTACAGATCTCTGCATATGCTCTAAATTTTGGAGGCATCTTTCATCAGACTTTAAGGGGTGCATTTAGGTTGTCCTGCGAGTGCTTTCAGATTTAGCAGACTCCTAAGTCTAAATATTGACTTGGTTCACATTTTATTAAAACAGCAATGCCACCTAGTGGACACAAACCCATGCTATGCATATTTAATCTAGGTACCTATGACAAGCCGCTGCTGTGATGCAATATTTCCTAAACAAAATATTGCCACTCATTTCACTAACTCACTAAGTCCATAATAGTGCCATCATGCAGGGAGGCATCATTAGTTTATTGTGGTAATTAAGAAATCTGGCTCTGGAGTTACACTGCCAGAGTTCAAAACCTGGTTATGCCTCTTCCCTTGGGCAATCTGCTTGATCTTCCTGTAAACCTGGGCCAGTAGTAGTCCTTGGGAAGGGGAGTTTAAATGAGCTAATATTCATGACTCTTTAGGACAGCATCTGTTATACCTGTAATAAAATAATCGATATTATAATTACTAAGATCACTGGTTATATCAGGAAATATAATGATCTTTTACTGAGCACCAATTCTGCTAAGCAAAGTCCTATATTTAATTCTTATGTCAATCTTAGTATGCCTACTCATTAGTCTACTCATTTTACAGATGTAAAATTAGGCTCAGGATTTACATAACTTGGTAAAAACAAAGAACACATGTCTAGTAATATCCAAACCCATTCTTTTAACCATTGTAGTATATTTCCTCTCATCATAAAAAGGAAACCGATCACAAGCTAATTGGCATTCCCACAGCAAAACATGCTTAATATTTGTTGTGTACCTGAAGTCCTTCGAGGTGGAAGGAGCTGGAGCTTACTGAGTCTGCCTGCTGACATGTTGACTCAATTTGATTAGTAAATATCTAAGCCATGCTGGTTAGTAGCAAGCTGTTATAGAAAGAACCCTGTGCAGAGAAAACAGGAAATCTGATTTTTAGCCACATTCTGACTGGGTGAATGTGAGGTTGTATCACACCAAAGAATTGTTTAACATCGTTCTTGGTAACTAGAAATCCTGATCTACTTCTTCTGGTTTTGGAAAGAATGATGAAATCTGCACAACTAGGTCATTATTTTAAAATTGAGTCATCTATAAAACAGATCTTTTAAAAAAATAGTGTTTAGATAAGTGTATGCAGAATAAGGTATTACAGTTTTGAAATTTTAATAAAAGTACATGTTAATAAACCATAACACAATTACATAAGCAACTACATTCAAATCCCAAGACGTCAGTTACATGAATGTTATCAGAGTCAGGAATATCTGCCAAGAAAACAACTTCTTTTACTCCAAGGGCACTGAAGGAATTCAAACTTCCTAGGTTACTGACCCCAGAGATTACACTGCATATATAAAAGGAAATAAAGAAAAGTCTTCTGTGTCCTTTAGTCATCTTGAACTTTACATCAGCATGTCAGGTCAGCAGTGAAGAAACCATCTCATTGTCCAGATGAAGAAACTAAGGGTCAGAAATAGTGAGAGACTGTCCTTGGGCACAGAATTAGCTGTGTGCTAAAGTTCATTCTAACTGAAACCATTCCACTACCCTAGACTGCCAGGCATTCTTTCAAAACCTTATTTTTGAAATGTGCCACACACTCAACACAAGCAGAACATGGTTTCTGCCCTCACCACCTGAGAAATGCACAGGAAAATAAGTAATTACAATTCAGAGTGTCATAGGTCCTGAGTCCTGGGGAGTCCTGGGCAGTCCTGGGCATCCTGGGATGGCATCCTTCTGGAGATGAGAGAGTTGGCTCAGGAGAGTTGGTGGGAGCTGGTTACTCTGAGCCACCTCTCTCATGAGGAAAGTTTTATTCCTGAAATTCTGAGAATAGAAAGCAAAACGTGAAACATTCCAGAAATTAGACACCTGGGTGTTTCAAAATCCCAAAGGAGAAAGAAACCGTGAAATAAGAGGACAGACATCAGCTGTCAATTAATATTTAGTCAGCAGTGTTAATCGGGCTCAGCTGGAAATTTTCTTCAAGCTCTCCTATGCATGTGTTGTATGTTTTGAGAATAAAAGGAGTTTGCAGTGCTTGGTGATAGAGGAAGTTAGTTAAAGAAGACTCAGCAAACAAGCAGACAAAGAAGGTGGAACCTCTTTTCTTGTTTGCTTTCCTCCATTAAAGCTCTTGAGATGGTTTGTAGGATTCTGCAGGTCTAATACTCTTAATGAAAGCTCATTTAAGCTGAGATGTGATTGACAATTTATCTAGAGATACCAGACAGCAAGACTATTCGAACCACCAAAAACATCCTTTAAAGAAGACAAAATAGCCATCAAATTCCCTGTAATGCTAGGGGATAAGTTGCCTTTTACACATACCACATGAGTTTGGTGCTCTGCCGAATAATTTTCTCTCCAGATAAAGACAATGGAAAGTGAACTCATTGGTCTCCTCCTATACAATCTTAAACCCAGATTTATTTTCATATGCCTTTGTGTTCTATTCATGGAGTTTGAAATTTTAAGTATCAAAAGTAAAAGTAAAAACCTCATTTTAAATGCACGTATTGTGAAAGCTAAGGATTAATAGTTAGAGGAGATTACAAAAAGGCCAAAAAGTGATGTAGTCCCTGAAATATATTATTTCATTCTGTCAGGGCCACAGAAAAACACATAAGATATTACCAGTAGTGTTTATTTGGCACACTTCTATAGAAGTAGATGTTGTGATTGCTGCTTATTAAGAACCCCAAGCAAGTGCTATAGTCTTAAAGGAACACTTTTAATGATATGTGTTTTTACAAGTAAATATTTTATAGCTGCTTAAAAATATTATACATAGTTAACTATTCATGCATAAATGGTAGAGAGAAGTTGACTTTTGCTATGTATTTTATATGTCCTTTCATTGCACCTGGAACAAGTAGGC